GATTTATAATCATTATAGTAATCAGTACTCGACTCTGTCTTGATGAGAAATGATGATGAGAAACTCACCTTTCCAGTGGACGCCTCATAAACTACTTTGATCTTCTGTCTCTGCTCGTTGCATCTTTTCACCAGGACAGCAACGATCACATCCTCATCCACCTCTGTAGGGGACAAGTTGTAGTTTAGCCTACTCTCTTTAAAGTGCTTATAGCCTTTAGATCAGAAATGTGCAGTGTTGAAAGAAGATCCATGTCTCCTAAGTACATTAAAATGATGAAAACCAGAGGGGCAGCTTGACTTGCATGCAATCAGGTTTTTCCACATTTTCACGGAGGAAACATCAACCATATTTTAAAGGAATACCTCAGCCTCCAAATGACCATTTGTATGTAAATTTCTTACCTTGTGTCACGCTGACTTCATGAAGAAAACTGTTTTTCTCACATACCTCCATGTTGAACAATGAATCCAAAAACTCAGAGAATTCTTGATGAATTGACGTCATGGGCAACAACGTTTAACAACAGCAAAACTATGACAAAACATATGTTTACAAATGCTCACAAAACTCATACAGTTTAATCCAAGTCTCATTGATCCAGTAATATGCTCAGTACTTCCCAAACAGACAGTCCTGTCCAACGGGGAACTGAAATTAAGACCAAACTCATCACTCCAACTGACAAAAACAGTAATTTTGCCTCGCTGAACACAGGAGCTGCTGGTCTACCACTGCCTCGATTGGTAGTTTGCTTTAGTGAATCCAAACTAACCCTTTAAAAAAAACAAAGTCACACAAATACAAAGTAACTCATCAAGGCAACAGTAGACCAACCAAGCGGGTGCCATTCGGACGATGGTGCTTGGGCAGTGACTTCCATGTCAGACACTGACGAAAAAAGCCATCCTTTTACGTCAGCATCATACAAGGCTGGGCGCCAGTAGGCATCAGGGGAAATGCAGCGGGACAAAAACGTAAGTGACGGGGCGAAAAGTCCAAGTAGGGCAGGCGGAAAGCAAGGGGTGGTAGATGGGTCCAACAATCACCAACTTTCACCCAGGAGGCCAGTATTTGCTTTCTGTATGAATGTAAAGCCAAACCCTGTTATTTTTTTCTAGACCTAACCACATTTGTGTGTCTAAACGTAACCATGTGTGTTTGTTGCTGAAGGAAAAAAAAACCCATAAATTTGCAGTGTTGTACTTACGTAGTACATTAATTTTGAATGAGACTGTATGCAAACTGTAAATTTCCTGTGAAAATGGAGGTGTATTTTGAAAAGATGCAATGCATGTAACAGGCTGAAGTTGACACAGCGTTCTAGAACGTCAACAACCAACACACCCAGGGTACTTTGCACATCATATGTTGATGTGGAAAATCCACGACCAAGCGGCGATATGTGACGAGGTCAGAGTGAGAATGTGTTGGACCAACAGCTCCTGTGTTCAGCGAGTTAAAATTACTGATTTCGTCAATGGAGTCTGGCTTTTTCATTCCCTGGAAAATGTCTGTCTGTTTAGAAAGTACTGAGCAAATGACTTGATAAATGAGGCTTGGATTAAACTGCACAAGTTGTGTAATGTTTTAATATAGATTTAGCAGTTGTTAATTGCTCCTATGACTCCAATTATCAAGAACGTTCTTTGTTTTTGGATTCTTTGTTCGCCAGAGGCATGAGAGAAAAACGAAGTTCTCTTAACTACTTCACTACTTCAAAGTAACATGGCGTGAGTAACTGATATACAAATGATTATTTGTATGAAGTATTCCTTTAATTATTGCTGAGTTCTTCAACTTTAAACTGTACATCATCTACAAAGAATGACCCAGCCCTACAAGCATGAGAACTTTCTTAAGATAACATGAGTGAGCACACGCACCTTTACTGTCAATGGCACTCTGAAGAGTGGACGCATCACTGCTGGCGTTGAAGTTTGGATACGGGGCAACTGTTCCATAAAACTTAGGTTTCACCTTCCCCTTCACCTGTAACAAAAACCAGAAATACAAGTTTTACTACCTCCGGCTGCTGCAAGCCACCAGAAACTCAAAGCTGTGGACGATTTACAGTTTTAAACATGATTTTTGATTTGTTCCAGTTTCATCACAGGGCAGAGTGACAGGAAGGATGGAGGAGAGAACGGTAAGGTGCAGAGCTGAAGGTTGACAGAGCTACAGACAGCTGTCAGTAGGCCATTAACAGGTGTATTCACCTCATGAATAATTGTTTCTATGTGATCTGATACTCACTACGACGGTGTCATCATCTCTGTCTTTGTCATGAATGATATCTTTGAAGAATTTCTTGAAGACGGACATGTTTACTTGGATGGAAAGTTATAACTAGATCCACAAACCTATCGCTGTAGAGGGAAGAAAGGAAACAATAAAGACAAATAATGAATTTAAAGTTGATTTAAATGTTTATACATACTTTAAACATATTAAAAAAACTCACCTGTGCTACTGCAGATGGTCCTCACGTTCCAGTTTGTAGCTCTCAGGTGTCAGTCGCAGTATTTACCTCACCCTGCAGTGTCTCCACCCATTACTGTGCAGATGGTTTTCAGACAGATTTATTTTCACCTGCATCGGAGGATCAGCCAATCGTCTGCCACCTCTCAGAGACTGCATTCCTGCAAGGTGACACCCAGAGGTTCGGGTGCCTCTGACAGGTTGGGTGACTCCTCTGTACAGACTTGTATTGTAATTTGTAAGAGCTTCACCCTTTAATCAAACAACTTATCATTTACACTGGCATCGAGGGAACGGTAATAACTGAGATGAAGTTGGCTGTAGTTCGTGTCTTTAAAGGAGATGGTGAAGTAAACAAAAATAAATACTGAGCTGAGACTCCACATTGTGGTTTTTACACAATTACATGACTGAACCTGATGTTCTGCATTTTTCTACTGCTAAAGGGAAACACGCCAACATCTGTTTAAATGCCTTAAGAAGAAGTTGTAATCACATTACATCTACTAACCACAACAATTACGTCATTACTTGTGTTAGTGTGCATGTCAGGTGACGTTGCAGAGTAGCGCAAAAGTAATGTAACAAATTACTTTGTACAGGGAGTAAATAAGTAAAGCAATGCATTACTTTTTTTGCTATGTAACAAGTAATGTGTACTTAGTTACTTTTTGTAAGTAAGACCCCAACACTATTAGGGAGTACTGCTGTATAACCTCCTGAGACCCTGTGTCTTCATGAGGACATCACATTTTGGGTTTACTTAACCTTCTACTTAACTGAGACCTGTTGTCCTCGTTCGTTGTCACTTTGTTGTGCCATCTAGTGGTAGTAAGAGCACAATACACTAATCCACGTAGAAACAAGATGGCAGCCATCTCTGTCAACTCAGTCTGCAGCCGATCCCGACACAAAAGTGGACAAGGTCTAAAACCTGATCACATTTTAATTTCAACAAATTATTATTCCAGTCCAGCGTCATCTTTTTGAGTCTTGTATAGAGTCCATTCTTCCCATTTTCTTTCTGGTTGTGCTTCTTGTAGTCTCACTATGTGTGTCAACTTCTCCATTAAAAAAAATCTCTTCCACAATTGTTAGCCACTGGTCCTTTGTTGGTGGTGTTTCTTTAACCCAGTTCCTAGCGAGTAGAGCTTTGTTGCTTGCTACTAGCAATATTTTGCTCGAATATCACGAGCAATAACAATTTACTCAGAAAATTTGGAATTAGCAAGTTTTCAAGAAATCCACTCAGGTTTTAAAAGGACAAAAGCGGAAAAAATGGCGTGGAAATTTAAAAAAAAAAAAAAAAAAAGAAGAAGAAAATATTTACGGTTCTGCTGAGTTGATTTTGGTCCTTTTTCAACTGCTCATTGTGAGTGACAATGTCACAGAGGTGCAACACTAAATCTGTGGGGTGCTCTTTCAAAGTATCAGGAATGTTAGGAACTTTTGGGAAAGGACTTCCTGGTTTCAAGATGTATTTCTTATTGACTAATTTCTTTTTTACTTTGATTTCTAAGTGCATCCCTTCCCTTTGTGGATTTAAGCAAGAAACAAAAATAACATACAAGTTGTATAAAATACAATAAAAAAATTAAATGGATATAAACTGTGATGCTACAAATATGTTATTAAAAGAGTTTAAACTTTATTTAACGTCAGAATTCTACCATGAATTACAAAGTTGGTGTAAAGAGAAGAGAAAACAAAAAGCCTGACCACAGACATGACCACACAATAACATGAGTATTGAATACTGAATATGTAAGTGAAAATATTGAGTATTGAATACTGAATATGTAAGTGAAAATACATAATGAGGTGTCTTGATAATGAAATTACTTTTAGTACTATTGTGCTTACAACATGGCCCAAGGATAATAGTCTGTGTTTGAATGGTCTTTTGATTCAAAGTTTATATTTCTATCTTTCCTTGCTTATAATGCACTTTCATTTATACTTTATTTATTTTTTATTTACTAGAAACACTATGTGTACAATTTATAATAAGCCTGACACAAAAAAAAAAATCAACTCAAGGTCTACTTCCTAACTTTTTCCGGGACTTTCAGCCACATCTCATCTCCTTCCTCTGCAGAATTGTTTGCTGAGTTGCCATATATACGGGTGGTGATTATGACAACTGAGAAAATTCAGTCCACTGAGAAAGACTGTGAGACGCTGTTAAAAGTTCCAGCAAAGGCATCTACATGGTTGTCAAACTTTTTAGCTCCAGTGTATACTGTGTATCTCAGGCACAGAAATTTCCTTTGGGATGAATGAAGCTCTGTCTGACTGTAGCTTATCTTATCAGAGGCACTGTTGCGATCAAAAACACAGTCTTCCTTAATACATAATAAGATACTGAAGACAAAACTGAGGTTTTTACAGAACTGTGTTGCGAAACTGCTCTGTAGGTTAAAGCTTATAGAGCTGTAGTTTTCAAAATTAACCCCTGGTGAACTTTTGAACGCAGTAAGGAAATATGAAGACTTAACAAAGGTCACAATCTCAGCAGCTTGTTTTGTGCTTATTTATGTCTCCAGCTGTGAAATGAACAGAGATTGTCTGAGGCTTGAACACAGCCTGCAGGATTTTCTCACACTGTTATCTCGGAGGGGGCCCTCTCCCACGGCCTCGGCCCGGTCCAGCACCCGGACCTGGCCCTGGTCCAGCTCCTCTCGGCCCGGGCGGCCGGTTCACTGGCCCTCGAGCGTTGGGGTTGGGAGACGCCAGAGCCACATCTTTCTGCAGGTTTACGCCTTTACCAGCCGAGCCGGGCTTTGTCTTCGTTGGCTTTGCTTCCGGCTCTGGAGGCTTTTCTGTTCAGACAGATACACAGATACTTCTCAGTATTAATTTTAACACTTTACAATAATAAAAACAGAAAATATATTTGATCTTAAGACACATAATAGCATTTATTTAATATCTGTATAGGACGATCAGCTGCTGAGGAGTTAACTGACCAGGCTCTGGAGGAGCAGGGGGGATGAGGGATCTGTTCGGCAGCAGGTCCTCCAGGTCTTTCATGACCTGGTTGGTGCTGTCAGTGTTGTTCCTCCGGTTCTTCTCCTCATCCCGAGCCTGGAGAGACAAAGAGAGAGAGAGAGAGAGAGAGAGAGAGAGAGAGACAGAGGTGGACATAAAAAAAAACAGACAAAGAGACGTTTAGGAAGACAGAGAAAATCATTAGGAGGCACAAAACTGTTATATCAAATGTGCTGTTATTGATCCCTTTACACCTTGCATTAAAATGCATTTTGGGTGATGGGATTGGAATCAGATAGTGCTTGACCACAAAAGTGAAAGTACAGGTGTAAATGCACTTAAAACACACTGAGGACACATTGTGATCCAAATGAGTCACATCACATTTATATTTGTACGATTTGGAACAGTGTACATTACTCTTATTCCCACACTCTACTCACCATCTGCATCTTCTTCTTCAGCTCCATGTTGGAGTTTTGATAGGCCTTAGACACTGAGTTCAGATAGTAGATGGCCAGTCTGTGAAGGAGACATGACAGGATTTGTGGGAATTTTTTTAGCTGGTGCAAAGAAACACCCTCTAAAACAACAATCCAATGTGCACTCACACCATGAGCAGTACAGCTGGTATGATGAGGCCTGGGTTGGCTGCGTAGCTGAAAAGCGTCCCCATGAAGGCCGGCAGGTCCAGGTCAATCGTCTCCATGATCACATCAAACATCCTCGGCTTCCCACTGCAAACATCAGCATGCTCAACACATGCTCCTGTAATTCATTATTTGTCATGAGTTTTGTTTATAAGTGCTTTTACTTACCTGAAGGGTCCGCAGTCAAACGAAGGCGGCAGGGTCATGATGGTGTAGACGACAGGTAGCAGACTGAGGAAGAGGATGAGAAGCAGCAGACCCATGTAGAAGTTGTTGGACTTGGAGGCCTTGAAGACTCTCTCGTGGGGGACGTTGGTGGCCATTACAGCCCAGCACTGATAATACATGGAGCTGAGGAGGCGGAGCACGTTGATGCCGACCAGCCCGGGAGCATAAAACGCACCCATCCTGAAGAACACCAGAACATGACAGCATGTACTGTGATCAGATTATGTGTAACAAATAATTCAATATGTAAGCTTTTTTATTATGTTTAATTGATTGCAGTGCCATAATAAGTGTATAAAAATTTGAACTGAGTTTCTAATGTATTTTGGGAAAAATAATGTGTGTAGCAAGTGTCATGGCAATCCGACCAACAGTTGTTAAAACTTTTCGCTCAGTGATGCCATGAGGTGATATTAGATACAAGCAGCAACATGCACCCATACATATAAACATGTAAAACCACACATGCATACACAGGAACGCACTTGCAACTGAGCATGTGCAGTGTAAGTAGAAATAATGTTCGTACCAGATCATCCCTTGATTGAAGACCAGTCCAAGTACGTTACCACTGATGTCAAACTCTCCATATGAGGGCTGGAAGTGAACAGAGACAAGGATCACTTCCTATCTATTGAAAGCTTTACCAATGATAAAAATTAATTTGCTTTTTTTTTTAAAGATATTTTTGGGGGCATTTTTTAGACTTTATTTGACAGGACAGACAAGTGTTAAAGGGGGGAGAGAGAGAAGGAGTGACATGCAGCAAAGGGCCACAGGCTGGAGTCGAACCCAGGCCGCTGCGGCAACAGCCACTAAGCCACGATGCCCCTAATTTGCAGTTTAAATGATTGCAGTAGAAAAGTTAAATGAGTCCCCAGGTCAGTAGAGATCTGAAATTGAAGTTACTGTGTTACACCTGTGACAAGAAGAATAGCAATATCATGTCAGCAACAACAAAGCAAAGAGTCTACAGCCATGCTAGCAGTTCTGTGAGGCTGGACAGCAGTGCTTTGCACTAAATGCGAATGCACTGCAACATACTTACAATTTAACTTATTAGTGTGCTAAGATCTGCTAATTAAAAATAAAAACACAGTGCTGCAGTGGCTGATGAGATGGTCATTAATTTTGTTCTTTTTTTGGTCATAAACCAAAATTTCAGCCAAATTGAAACGTTGAACTGTAGAGAAATCACAGGTATAAACTAGAGGGGCACTTGGAGACTGCAGACCAGTGGTTTTCAAACTGTCTGCACCCAAGGCACACCAGAGGTCAAGCTTAGTGTGCAAAGGCTTTAACACCTGTGCTTTTCCTACTATGACACATCAAAATGATTGCTGTGAGAAACACTGTTGCTAAGTGTCAACACTTGTCTCACAGTGCATACAGAAATTGGAGAGCTTTTCCATCACAGCTGGAAAAACCTTCACTACTCACTGAGTTTTAGACACACCCAAAGTAAACCATTAAAACTGAAATGCTTCAGCTGTCACACTCACAAATCCAGCCTCCAGGTCCCAGCACCAGCAGTAATTAAGGAAGCGAACGATGACAGCTCGAGCAAAGTCACCGATCAGGATGGTGAGGTAGGACACCTGGATGTCCGACACTGTCAGCTTAACAAACTCCTGGAACGACACATATTCAGGAGAAGTGAAACGGGGACATAAAAGTTTGACAGCATGACGTCTCTTTCTCACTTCACACACTGTTGAGAACACTTTGGCAGAAGGTGACTTGTGGCTTGTGTTTCTGTCTCATATAAAATAGTAAAGCAGTTTTTATTTTCATTACAATGCCAACGGCGGTCTCCCAGCAAGGTCCTCTGATGACATCAGAAGGGTCCATGGGGGGTGGTGTGGCCTCGCTGTCATTGACCGTACGTGAGTAGTTGGCGTAATACTCCTTCATGGCCCAGATGGAAGCGTTCTTAATGGACTCCTCTTCTTCCAGCTACGAGACACAAAGAAGTCAAGGAATCAGCGTTGACACAAGTTTCTATTTCTACTGAACACGGGCGCTGCTGGTCTACCGCTGCCTTGATCTCTTAGTTTGTTGGTGTTATTGTGTGACTTTGGAGTCACCAGAGTCAGATGATAACACAAACAAACTAAGAGATCGAGGCAGCGGTAGACCAAATTACTGTTCTTGTCAGTGGAGTCTGTCTTTAAAGAAAGAATAGATATGTTTAACTTTCTCTTCAGTTCCCCACCAGAGAGATGTGTCTGTTTGGGAAGTACTGAGCACACGACTGGATAAATGAGACTTGGATTACACTGCACAAGTTGTGTGAGAGTTTGTTAACAGATGTTCTGATATAGTTTTGCTGTTGTTAAACATGGACCCCTTTTACTTTAATTCATTAAGAACTTTCTCAGTTTTTGGATTCTTCATTCACCAGAGGCATGGCAGAAACACATATTCTTCATGGACTGAACGTAACACGAGGTGAGTAACTGATATACTGTTACATGTGGCCCTGCATTGTACTGTGTGTACTGCCCGCCCTTGTGGGTGTGGTTGCTGTTTTTTAGTCCCCTTTCGCTAGAGAATGGGGAGAAAGGGGAGCTCAGGGACGGAGCGGGGTGGATGGTTTTCTTCCCATTTTGTTCCCAACATGGATTAGACTGTTGGGCTTTGCTATTTTAGTTTGGGTTGGAGATTACCGGTAGTTGAGTTGTCAGAATTTGTTTGGTTAAGTTTAGTTCAGTTTAGGTAGCTACGGGGATGAGCTGAGTCCGAGGGCCCACCTTCCCCATCTTTTGCTTCTTTCGACTGGGATCTCCAATCCCTTTTGTTTCCTCCTTTGAGTTGTAAGTATGGTTCCATCTTACTATATAATGACGAAAACTCTGTGTGTGTGTGTGTGTGTGTGGGTGTGTCTATTCCACGTTTTTCTCCTCACTGACTTGGTCAATCCATGTGAAATTTGGCACAGTGGTAGAGGGTCATGGGAGGATGTGAATGAAGCAATATTACATCAATTGGCCAGTGTGTGTGTGTGTGTGTGGGTGTGTCTATTCCACGTTTTTCTCCTCACTGACTTGGTCAATCCATGTGAAATTTGGCACAGTGGTAGAGGGTCATGGGAGGATGTGAATGAAGCAATATTACATCAATTGGCCAAAGGGGGGCGCTATAGCAACCGATTGAAATTGCAAACTTTGAATGGGCATATCTCATGCCCCGTATGTCGTAGAGACATGAAACTTTGCACAGAGATGCCTCTCCTCATGAGGAACAAACTTGCCTCAAGAACCCATAACTTCCGGTTATATAGATTTTCCACCATTTTAAATTTTTTGAAAAACACTTCAAATCGATCTCTTCCTAGGAAGTTTGACCGATCTGCATGAAACTTGGTGAACATAATCTAAGGACCAATATCTAAAGTTCCCTCTTGGCAAAAGTTGGAAAACTTACTAAAACTGAGCTTCTATAAGGCAATAAATATTGCGGAGGGCGTGGCTCATCACATAAAGGTGTATAACATCTCAAGGGTTTCACCCATCACCACACAACTTTGTAGGCATATGACCACACATAATCTGAGGGGACCCCTCCATTATTGACCAAATCAAACAAAATGGGGGCGCTAGAGAGCTAATTTCTTATCTAGGCCAAACCGCCATATTAATTTTTACTAAACTTGGTAGATATGTAGAACAGGACGCCTCATGATGACTGGAGAAATTTAACTCTAATTGGCAACTGTGTGGCACTATAACAACAGAAAAATGCTTAAAAATGGCTAAAATGTGACCGATTGCTGTGGCTCCCCCTGTGGACCAATGGTTTTTTCTTTTCTAATTTTTGGTATGATTAAGTCATGGTATGGTATGCTGTACATAATCATAGAAACTGTCAGTGTGTCATTCTGTCAGTCCCACTTTTTCCTACTCACTGACGTGGTCAGTCTATGTGAAACTGCACATAGGCATTGAGGATTGGCATAGGTAGAAGGTGACAAAGCTACCAATGGGTATGGACTAGTTTTTGTTAATAGTAAAACTTCATTTGCTTTTTTCCTTCTGCAAACCGCGTCTAGCGTCTATTCACATGTTCCGGTCTCAGGTTGAGCCTTTGTCAGTTAGAGAGGCTGCAACATGGTCATTTGGAGAGTGAAGTATTCCTTTAAGGGGCTGTATGCTTGGTAACACTACTGACATTCCCCTTAAAAGCAGAATCTCTTTGAACACTGGGTAATTGCAGTAAAATAAACAAATACAAAAGAAGTAGAAACAGAACTGGGGAAAAGATCTTTGGGTTACAGAAATTAGAATAGTTTAAAACAATGGTTCTCGACTGGTCAGTCCATGGGGTCCAGATTTCTCCTCAGTCATTAGTTCAAGGTCCACACAGTTTCATATATTTAGCATCAAACTGGCATTTGGACATGTTTTCAAGCTAATTTGCTGTCTCTGTCAATCAGCTGTCCATTAGTCACTCACTCTACAGCAGGAAATGACACTTCAACATGAAAGCTCTGTGCAGGAAATTCACTGTACTTCAAAATAAAGTGTGTTTTTTCACAAACTTGACACGTTTGCGAGTCACTTGTGATCCATTCAGAATGGACCTGCGTCCCACCAGTTGGGAACCACTGGTGTAAAATGTATGAGAGATCCTGTGTGACATATTGGTCCATGTGTGGTACTAGAGGAGAGTCCCAAATCAGGTGCCTGGATGTGCTGAGTAAATTTCATGACATTACCACTTTTGAAGTGTTAAATACAGAAGTTAAAAATAACAATATTGGGCCAAGCTTGTCTGATGGGGTTCGGCAAAGTTATCATCACTACGGCCATCTGTGGGAAACTGTCCAGTCGGTACCATACCTTGGTGTTGACCTCGTCGAACAGCGCAAACAGAAAGGTGTAGAGGTTTCCCAGGAAGAGGGCAAAAATGCGTCCGAGCTGCCACTTGAGGGCGATTCGAGGATGGTAGTCCTCCAGCTCAGCGATGGTCTCAAACAGAGGAGGACACACCAGACCCAGCAGAGACATGATGATCTCCAACTGTCCAGAACAGTCACCAATAAAAGATTCACATCATCTATTTAATAACTAGTAGCTTCAGCATTATCAACAATGCAGAACCGTTTGAACATCATTACCTCGTTCTTCTCATACCAGCTGAGGTCGTCCCTGTTGGCGAACTCCTGAGACCTCTTCACCACAAAGTAGATGAGGTATCCGCTGCCGCCGAGGCTGCAGGTGATCAGGAAGTTGGCCAGGACTCTGAGGAACCTCCGCAGGTGAATGTTCTCATCCTTCTGGTTCTCCTGCTCGTCCACGATGGACTCCTGTTCTTGTCAAAACAGGAAGAGGAAGGATTTACAGTCAGCAGAGAACTTCATCTGTCATTGACTGTGTTAGCGACGTAGCAGTGAGCTCAAATGAAACCAGGTGTACTGAAAATACAGCACACGTGCATGTATGTTTCTTGTAAAGTTGTTGCCATTGGTTACCTTGAAGCTGGTGGTGATGGAGGCGTATTTGTTGTCAGCGGTCTCTGAGTTGCCTATGAGGTAATCCCAGCTGGTGAACATCTTCCAGGCAAATGTGAACTCTCCTTCGTCTCCGTCTCCACCACCGACATCAGCGTTCTTGGCCATTCTGGGGAAAAAAGACTTCCTAATGAGCATGTAGGCAGACAGACCTGCACATTGTCGAAATTAATTTTGATATTTCCATCACTAACCAGCAAATTCACACATTTATTTTATGTTGATGTCCTTACACCTTATGTCTTGCTTTGTTTTGTCACATTTTTACTCACGTGCGGATCACGACCATCAGGCTGTAGCCGAAGGTGCCGATCCCGACCATGAGGTAGGACAGAGGCAGCCTGAACTTCAGCAAGCCGATGGTCCTCTGGTTGTTGTAATAGCCGTAGAAGAGGACTGAATATTTGCAGTAGCCCTAAGAGACGCAGAGGTGCTGTCATTACTTACTTTTTCCTTCTCTCATCTTCCTTTAGTGCCTGTGTTCATTTGTGCATCATATTTGTGCTGCCATTTTAGCCAGGATACTCTCAAAAAGCAGGATTACATCTCAGAGAACTTTCTAGATAATTAAATGTCATTTAAAATGAAACAGTGATTTTTTTCTTTTATTTTTATTGAACATACTTCATTGATCTCAATGGGAAGTTCAGTTGTACACTCTGCCCATTCTTTTTCATGCTACGCCCTCCACAGTTTCAACACAGAAACTCCATTCAAACATCAAAATATTCAGCTCAATTAGGATATGCATGCTTGCATTTTTATTATACATATCTTACAAACTTTCACCATTTTCTAGGAAATTTTCCCCCATTCAAATGATTGGAGGAATGCTCAAATCTGACACAAATTCAAGGTTTTTCAGGCATTTTCAAAGCTTGTTTCTTCTTTCATACATTCACATAGAAACTCCGCTCAAACTTGAAAATATTCCACACCTTTTTTGTACATTCTAGGTTATATTCAACTTTAAAATCCCATTTAAACTTTCTGAAATATTCAGACTTGGATGGAATGTTTAGAGTTAGAGTTAGGGACTCAACTGTCAGAGTGCAGAGAGCTTCTTAAACATTTCTCCTTAACTCACTGTCCCGCCCACAATTTTTACTCTACATACATCATTTTTGGTCAAAACTGACTTAGACGTTTGGTACAGTGAGCCTGAAAGTGAAAGAAACACCACTAACCATTGAACTCACTGTTAACTGAGACCAGATATATTAAAATATTCCACAGCATTCATACATTAATGGTATTATTCAACATTTAAAGCGAGAATTGCAGTGTAGCATAAACTTTTCAACATGCAACATTCACACCTGCAATTTCATCAGAAATTGCATTCTCTAGTTTTTACGCTTTACACACACAAGCCTGAAATACACACACACATGCACAAACTGGACCTGTGCACATACACGCATGGGGAGATATCAGAGCAAGATGGACTATTGAATCAGTATTAATTTGATTCCCCCTGTAGGGTACAAATGTATATGTATACTTAATTACAAACCTATAAACTTTCTTGTAGATGTGACCCAATTTTCTTTCTTTTTGGACTCTTGAAAATATGTGCACTGACACCAGTGTGGGCTGGGCATAAAAAGCAAACAAAAGCAAACTCAAGACCTACCTTTTTAGCGTGGCTTTTCATTGAACTTAATGTCTTTTTTTATTTTGTATTTATTGTTCTTGTGTATTTATCTATCTATTTATATGTATAAATCTGTTTTCCTAGCTGGCATATTCTTCTATTTTGTTACTTATTTATTTATTCTAACTTATTGATTTACTTATTTATTGACAGATTTAAAATTGTTTTTTATTTTGAGTTTCTATCCTTATTTGTTTGTTCTATTGTTTTTATGGTGTGAAGCAACATTGCATTCTGTGTGTGAAAAGTGCTATATAAATACGTTTGATTGATGGATTGGTTGACATTTAAATCATTATACTGCACATAAGACTCACATTAAAGTCCATAAGGACAGAGTAGTCTTGAGCGGTGTCCTGCTCTGCTCTGGGTACAGTCTTCCTGGGAATGGACCCGTAGGGAAGGCCCATCAGGACCTGGAGAATAAATAAGATTATTTTATTTAATGAACTGAATTGATTTATGTTATATTTTACTGGATCTTTAATAATTTCCATTTTGTCGTGCATTAATTTTATACTAATAAAATAACATGAATAGATTTTATTTCAGCTTTTAAATTCAGACACAGGACATCACTTCACCTCAGGGATGACCACAAGTCCAAAGGTGAAACCAAAAAGGACCAGGTTCATGCCGTACATCCAGCGCAGAAAGATAAAGTAAGATGCCACAGATGACCCGAAGTGACCTGAGGACATTGAGAAGATTTTTAAGCTCAGCATCTGTCCACTGGGGGTCGCTGTTCAGCTGGTAAACGCCACCGTGTGTACTTACTTTCCACCTCTTTGATCTTCCTCTCCCAGGGGATACAGGCTGTTCTGAAGTTCTCAAAATCCCTCTGAAACTTGATCCATTTCTGGGATCAAAAACACTGAAATTTAGAGAAGGAAAACACACACACAAGAAGAAAGCACAGAGGATATAGACAGTTTGAATTTTGTGCCTAACCTTTGTCATCATCACTTTGTAGGCGTACCACTTCCTGCCTTTTCCTTTGCCCAGAGCTCCTTCAAACTTATCCACAAACTCTTGAGCCTCCCTGAGAAGACAATAAGGTCACATGTGAGGTAATTGTTCATTAAAAAGAGCTGTATTTGTGTGTTTGACAACTAAAATGACCCCAAATATGAGTAAAAATTATGTATTTTTTCACATCAACACTTGATCTACAGCTCTGTGATTCTGGGCTGAGGTGAAGAACTTTTATTTCATCTCAAGCTGGAAACCAGGACAAGTGTAAGATATTACTTTAGGTGTACGAGCCTCCGCTTCATCCTCCACGGCTTGTTCCTGATGTTGGCGATGAGTTTCTTCTTCTCCTCCACCTCCTCCATCAGCCGAGCCATCTCTCCCTCTGACATGGACTCCTCCTCCTCGGAGTCCGTCTTGGAATCAGATGAACTGGAAGAGGAAAGACAGATGGAGATGAAGACAGAAACACAGTTGTGAATTACTTGTTTCACTGCTTCAGGCCATGTCAAACAGAGAAAATGAGACTAAGAGTCTACAGCCATGCTAACAGCTGTGTGAGGCTGTACTTAGGCACAGTGGTGCTTTACGCTAAATGCTAATGTCAATATACTGATGTTTAGCAAGCAGAGTATTTACCATGTTCACTGTCTTGTGTGTTACTGTAGCATGCTAACATTTGCTAATTAGCACTAAACACAAAGTACAGCTGAGGCTGATGGGAATGTCATTCAATTATACACCAAAGTAGAGAAATTTGAAATTTGGCCTGATGGTGGCACTTAAGCAATACTAAAGAGAGCACTAAAGTCGGTAGAATTCATCCACTGGGCACCATGAACATCGGTACCAAATTATATACGATCCATCCAATAGTTGTTGAGAAATTTCATTAAAAAGACAAAATGTCAGTGTTGTGATGGTGCCAGGAAAAGTCAAGAGATCACTTAAGTCTGTAGGATGTATCCTCTAGGAACCATGAATGTCAAATAAACAACAAAATCAAACTGTCATGGCAATCCATATCACTGTTGACCAACCTACCAACTGACCAATACTGCCAACAATGCTACCTTGGCTAAAAAAAAAACCTGGGGGGATCACAAGTAGACATTATCTGACTTTGAGGGGTCACACATCAAACAGTTTGGGAATGTTAGGTCAAGAAAGTAGTTAACTGCAAGTATTGTTATTAGCATGATTGAGTAGCTTGCCGTGGAATTTCTTGTATATATTGTGGCAAGCTGGCGTCTCTTGTTTAAAAGTAGACAGCAGAAAGATGAACTCTAAACCACGAATCGCTCCATAGTAGTCCATAGTACATCTACCCATTTGACTCTGTGATACTTAAACAGATGGGAGGTCACGAACCATGTGTACAACTTAACTTGAGGTGCAATATATCTTTTACCACAACATTAACCGTAACCCATTACACCCATTGTGAAATACATAACCAATAATCACTGTGTAAAAGGTAACATATGAGTGATTGAGAACACATTCAAACACAGTTTCCTTCAGCTCATGACCTTAAACACACTGTCCCACAACATGCTGGGAAACTCCACCCATTTAGCCCCAACACACCACAATATTAATGCTCCCCAGATGATAAACCTTTCTATTTTGGCACCTGTATGAGTTTTCTGAAAGCACTCCCCTTAGACCAAAAAGTCACTTTGCATACTAAAAACTACTAACCAGATTTCCGTGAGTTATGCTGGGGGTATTCATGTTCCCCAGAGGATGACTCCTAATGATCTTGACCTTTCCATTGAGGAAAAACTGCCATTTGTGCACAGAAATATCAAAATCTAAAAGGTAGTAATCTTTGCAAGGAAACTGGTCTCAAACACACATGAAGATTGTCGAATACGTTCATGCTTCCCAGAGGATGAACAAATGTCATTATGACATTATTCTCATATTATGGGCTGTAATGAACGATGCACCCTCCAGCTAGCAAAGCTTGAATTGTCAGTCTTCAATCAACAGTTCTACAGGTAGAGGTAAGTGACATCTTACCTGTCGTCCTTCTTCTTTTTCTTATTCTTGTCTTTGTCATTGTCCTTGTCTTTCCCCTTGTCCTTCCCTTTGGCGTCCCCCTTCTTACCCTTACTCTCCTCCTCCTCTTTCCCTCCTTTCTTTCCTCCCCCCTTCTTTCCCTTCTTTCCTTTCCCATCATCGCTGTCCTCATCGCTGTCCTGAGCTTTGCCTCCTTTCTTCCTATTGGCTGCTCCTTTCGGCTTTCTTTTGGGCGCTTCATCTTCACTCTCATCATCATCATCTCCACCTCCACGCTTCTTGGCTGGCTTCCTCTTGTTTGCCCCCCTGCGGCCCCTGGGAGCTTCATCCTCATCGTCCTCATCTTCATCTTCACTGGCTGGTTTTTTCCCTCTTCCCCTTGCACCTCCTCTTCCAGCTCCCTGTCTTCTGTTTGTTCTCCTCTGGGTGGTGCCGTCTACGGTAAGACCAAATAAAACACAAAAAAACTATTTGGTATTGGAGTTATTAGATTAGATAATTATTCCTTTTAAATCAGTTCCATGACATGTGGTTTTATCCACTCACCATCACTGTCACTGTCCGCGTCAACCTCTATCTCAACTGAGAAAAGACACACACACAAAAAAACATTAATTCTACAATAAATCATAAAAAAATAATACATTTTCAACAAACTTGTTCCCTATTTTATTTAGCCACTCTACTGCCGTAGCTCCAAGGATGGCAATGTCAATCGGTCAGTCAGTCCACCACTTTGGTCCAGATTGAAATATCTCAACAACTACTGGATGGAATGTTAGGTAATTTTTGTACAGACATTTATGTTGTCAACAGGATTTACTGTAATAACTTTAAAAATTTTAAGCAGTTAGTTTGGTTCAGAAATTCCTTTGCATTTTCTTTCGCCTTTCGCAAGTATTTAAACCTTTGAACCCTGAGTAAATTGGTGTGATTTGTTTAAAGAAAATATGGGGAAAACAGTATTGAGCTACTTGGGAAGAAATGTCCCACAAATTGCAAAAAAAATTAGATTTTTTTTTTTTTTTTTTAAACTGGTGGAAAAAGTCAGGAAAAACTACAATATATGTATAATGATCATTTTTATATTTTGTTATTTTGTATTAGAATTATTAAGCACTCTTTCCTTTGTTTATTTTTTAACTTTCTTTCTTTCTGCGTATTTTTTTCTACTATTTTTCTTGTTTTTAATTTTTGCAAATTTTTTGGGTCATTTCTTCTTTAGTTGTCCATTGCCTTCTTTCCATGTTCTTAAAATAAATTTCCATGTTTTTTTTTTTTTTTTAAAAAAAAGTGGTAAACAAAGTAAACACTAACTGCCACATATCTACAATATCGTTACTGAGTATATAGTTCTGTAGGTCTTTTTCACAGCAAACATTTTGACTTGTCACAAAAGGTGTTATAGCATTACTGTGACATGTTTAAATGCCATGAACATTGTACATCTTTTCAGAAAGACTGATGAAAGAAAGGCTGGAAATTTCAACGTGTCTAATAATTTTGCTCATGAACAAAACCTGAGGAACTAATACCATTCCCGTTAGCCATGCTGTAGCCTACTTTGCGTACAGTGCTAATTAGCAGCATGCTAACACGCTGAACTTGCTGAAGCATGTTAGCAGTCACTGTGTATTCCCTGTGGAATTTTTCACATTTCATTGTGCTCCGGAGCAGTTTTTCTGTAACTGGGTACTTGTTTGTTAAACCCTAATCCCCTTAAAGTACCTGGAACCTGCATTTAGTATCATCCTTAACTGTGCCCAAATTTAAGCTGCCTTCAAATGATGTAGTGTTCACCGTGTTCACAAGATGAGTCCCTATGAACACCCTCTTCTTGTGCTTAAATGATCTTGTACAAAGGAATTTTCTGAAAGCTCCAAGTTCACAAGTGTTTACTGATGTTTTCAGAAATGGTGGAAACCTTGACAGTTTATTTTTGGTGGATGGTGTGTTATGATATTTTCATTTTTGACATATAAAGTTTTTCTTTGTAATTTCATAACACATCTGACTAAAATGTGATTTTCCCAGTGGCCCCTTTTTTTCCATTGTCATTATGCTGTTGGATTTCCTGAGTTACCAGCTTGCTAGCTTGCTAAATTCTTAGCCTTAGTGGCTTCTAGATGCCATTGCCAAGCAGTGGTGTTCTCACAGCTTAACCACCTGGACGCCAAGCATATCATGTATACGACCTCTAATAACCACAAGTTCACATTTCCATTAGGTCCTGGAACTCAGCCCACCATAGCCCAGTGGAAACAAAAGCAGAACCTGTAAATGATGGCTATGTTACAATTCATTAAGTTTCTGCTTGTGGAAAAGTGCCAGAAGTCACATGACTTGAATACACCTCTGGCACTGAAGCATATAATGTTGTACAAAGTCTGTAAGTAGCAGGGGTGGTTTAGTGGGGGGAAAAGTGGGACTAATTACACAGGGCATCAAGAGGAGGGGGGTCCTTAGTTTTGTTTGCAGTTTGAAAACGAGGCGCGGCTCCAACTAGAAAACAATGTTTTGATGCATTGGATGTGCTGAATGTGCATATTAAGGCAGTACAGGAGGAGGTGCACATTAATAATCCTCCAGGACTGTAACATGCTCATGTTTAACCCAAACAATGTGTCATGTGACTGCAGTTGGTTCAGATCCAGGTCGGAACACATTCTCACCACAAACAAACCGCACCAGAGTTTGTTTGTAACCGGACTGAGACCACCTCTTCAAGAAGGTCTCGGTCTGGTTGTTTTGGTGCACACCTGAGTGTGATTTCTGTGTTCACACCTGCCTACTGAACTGCACTTAGGGGGCAAACAAACTTGAGTTCGATTGAACTGAACCAAACAGGGCAGGGAGGCTCAAAATGGCTTAGTCTGCCCGTGCAATAGGATTCGTCTCTGAATGGAGCTAGAGCCGAGTGAGCGACTGCTTCTGCTGCCGGAGCACCAACGCACACTGTCATGTCTTTCCCCAAGAATGGGAAACAGACAGAAAGTAAAGGTGCTTGAGAGACGCATGGATCAAGAGAGGAAGGACAGGGGCCCACAGAGACTGCTTATGCATAGGGCCCTAAATGTGTGGTGCTAAAGATCAATAACAAAGTACTAAAGTGATTTATGCCCATATCAAAGTGAAGTTAATGTTACAACACAAATAATACTTAAAAATTTGTTATGATAAAAACAATTTTCTACACCTACACAACTTAAATCATCAAAACCTACAGAACAAATGAATCCTTTAATCTTCCACTCACCATCATCCGTGTCTCTTTTTCTCGGCATGATGAAAAATAAAAACTCCTTTGAGTCCTCTGCAGCGTTCACCCAGTCTCACCCCCCAGCAGGTCGTTTCTCCTCTGCCTCGGCTCCCCGCCAGCATCCAACTCAGGTATCTGACGGTGCCGTCACTATGACGACTGCTGCATGTGACCCTCTCTCAACAGGTGTTCTCAGATAGGTGCAGTGAATTCTGGAAACTGAAGGTGATCAGCTGAGGCTTAAAAAGTAGAAAGGCTGGGTTATTCTCAGAGAGCTGGGGCATTTATATTTTATTCTGAATTACATTAGAGGTGTTGATATACAGCTGTGGGTCACACAGGTGGTTCATATCAGGCCTTTGACTCTTAGAAGTGAAACAGCAGTCAGTGTGGCTTGATTAATCTAGGCTTCATTTTGTAGTTCCTAAATGACCAAAGGAGCACATCAAATGAAGTGCCTGTAGACACTCTCACTCATCTTGTTATTGGAGACTACACACACAGACACACACAGACACACCAGAAGAAGACCAGACGCCCTAAAGATTTAATGAAGGTATAGGTTTCTCTATGCGAGCCTCATTAGGCAAACAGTAAATACCCAGAGATGACCTTGCAGTTGCAGTATTGTTCTGTTTAGACGTTTTAAATGGAAACCCAGCAGGTGTAGCCAACCTGCAGCGGAGACTGACAGCAGCTAACTGTGTGTGCAGAGCTGGAAACTGTGCAGAGAAACACCTCACAGCCTCATTAAATAATAGAGTGGAGCTCATTTTTCACATCCAAAATGATTCCATTACACGGTTGGCAATTCCCACAGGTGAGACACGGATCACACCTTCTAGACTTGTGCTGGGAGACAGATGAGTGTGCTCGAGGTGATACACCTGTCGTAATAAGTTTAACATATTTAGATCCTTACGTACTTCTGCAAATCTTGGTTTTGGTGAGCATAAACACACAGATTATCATAGATCATCATAATTTATTGGCCATTACAAGCTACCGTAAGTTAATACATTTAGATGACATGTTTTAAAGCAGTGGTTCCCAACTGGTGGGTCGTGTTTCAAAAGTGGGTCAGTGAACACAGGAGCATCTGGTCTATCGCTACCTCGATTGGTTAAGGGCCATACACATGCCATGTTTTTTGCATCCTCAAATTCATTGTTTTCAATGTAGATGTGCAGCAGGTGTGCTCAAACTTAACACGGTCACCACTGTGCCCTGGGAAAAACTGAGTTCAACTTCTGAAGCACAGCAGCATGCACCGCATGTCATGTGAGGAGGACCAACCAATCACAACCGACAGTTATCTTTCCTTTCATCCATAAATATCAGTTTGTGGTAAATATGGAAAAGAAGTTGATCATTTTAGTGCAGGGCTACCTTGAGACTTACATCTGTCTCATGGACAATATTTTAGGCCTACACACTTACAAACAGCAGCTAGAAGAAGATCAGCTCTGCACTCAGGATTTCAGGTAAATAGGCTATAATATGGTGCTTGTTAAAGTTGCTTAGCAGCTTCAGATGCAACCTGCTGCTGCGCTCTTGAAAGCTGGCACAGAAAAGGCACACGAGTAGCACTCAGTGCCCGACCATGCGTTTTCTAGGAAACTGAAGACACAGCATGTGCACAGCCCCTTAGTTAGTTGACATTATCGTGTCACTTTGGGGCTATAAGGGTAACTATACAATATTACAATCTATTGATCAAAGCAGTGGTAGACCAAAAGCTCCCATGTTTAGCGAAGTAGAATTACTGGTTTTGTCAATGGAGTCTGGCTTTAAAGAGAGCATAGATAAGTTTTACTTCTAGTTCAGTTCCCCATTGGAAAGGGCTGCCTGTTTGGGAAGCACTGAGTATACGACTAGATAAATGAGTCTTGGATTATACTGCACAAGTATAGTATGCAAGTTTTTAAACAGATGTTTTGATATTGTTTCGCTGTTTTTAAACACAGTTGCCTATGACTTAAATTCATTTTTGCATTCTTTATTCATCGTAGAGGCATGCAAGAAAAAGTTTCCTCCAAGAATTCAACATACCACAGGGTGAATAACAGATGTACAATGATCATTTCACGGATGAGGTATTCCTTTAATGCAGTAAACCAATAGCGTCCCCACAAGAGGGCAAAACACATGAAACAGAGTGTGCATTAAATACAACACTGACCTATATTATCACCTTTTGAGATGATATGCACGCTTGTTAGCAAAGTGTCGCGTATTTACACATCCAGAAGATACAGAGCAACGTTAACATTCATTTGGAGTCGTGTTTATGTCCACGTAGTAACTGTCATATTCAATATTCCTTTTCCTTTGACTTTTTAAAGCTCACTGAAAACTGATGAGAGCTGTGAGAGTGAACCAAAACAATGAGTTAAGAGAAGATGAAAAGCTCCACAGAGCTGAGGGAAAGTTCAGAGTTGGTGATAATTATCTGTGGGTTAATAACTACAAGCAACCTCTTTCATATTAGAGATAGTCATCATCTGCGTTGACAGATTGTTGATTATTATTATTATTACTATTATTATAATTATTATTTAATTAACCTACTATTTAGTCTATAAAAGGCCAAATGCCCTGAGTGATGGTTCTGTTTACAAAAACTAACCAAACAGCAGGACATTCACCATTTTCTCTTCAAATCTGGACCCATTTGTGAACTTGACACAATTTTCTAAACAACTACACATCTAAAAACCTATCTGATGTTTTTTAAATCAATATTTCATGCATGACCACCATCAAAGATGCATGAGCAATTAAAAGTTAATGGATCAAGTCTTAGGGATGCTGCCTTATTACTGCACATCTGTGGCACGGCAAGAAAGTGTGTGTGTGTGCGTGTGTATGACATAAGGACTAAATAATGATTCTGACAGGAAACAAAACTTAAACTAATAAATGCTACGTTATATTTTTGTCTGTTGCAATTATATACAGTCATAACTGTGAACATTAACCAACTGTGAATGTAATTAATAAATAAATATAAGAATGTAACTTTGTCTGTATAAGCAATATACATTTATTAATACAGAGTGTCACAATAGCTGCACAATATGTCTGACAGTGCATCAGTGTTTGGACTTATGCTGTTATTCTACATAATGGAAAATGGGATTGTATGTCTGTTGTGCCCCCTAGTGGCTATTCCCTAGATAAAATAAAAAGTAAATTGACATACTTAACTGTATATACTAAGCAATAACTACTGTAGCTTGGCTGTGTGTTACTAAATAAACTAGCTGTCCAATAGATATTGAGCAGATGAGCACAGAAGAATCCAAAACTTTAAATGATATCAAATAAGAGTCAGTAAGATTGTGAGTTTTTTTGTTCAGATCTGAATGACCCAGTGCTGAAAGTAGTTTTAGGATCCTACATGTCAGAGTTTAACAAAGATAATATATCCAGATTATATCAGGGTTTTATGCACACGCTACAGGAAACGCTCCCAAGTGCTGGAGATTGTGCGGGAGCCAGGGATGCAAACACGGATATATTTTGGGAGTGTCCTGTAATAAGACAGTTTAGGTCTGAGATGCACAAAATACTAGATACTTTCTATTGTATACTTTTATTTAAAGAAAAATCTGACTTTCAACCTGGACACTTCAACTAAAACTTCTGGGTTTTGATATCCGCTGGTGAGAAAACCTTCACAAGACACTGGCGGCTTTCTGACCCCCTACAATAAAAGAATGGACGGATATAGTTAATGAAATATACATGATGGAATAAACTGGCAGTATTGTAGTAGTATTGCAAATGGGGGGGGAAAATACTTACTTTCATTTGATGACAGTTTCAGACAATCATCTTTTTTTGATTTGTTTCATTTTCAAAATCTTTTAAATATTTCCGTATGTCATCTCAAACTTGTAGATAGCGAAAAGTTATTATTCTCCAGTCCATATTTCCTCTGTTGTTGAATCAATGAAGCAAAGGCACCTTCTATATAGTAGGGAAGGCTGTGTCTAGGTTGGAGGGGACAAAGGTGGGATTTCTGGTAATGGGCAGTACAAGGGATACAGGTTTAAGACGAAATTAGACCTAATTTGCTTCCAGGTGCGAATTATCTTATGTATAATAGGGTTATTGTAATATAACTTGTTAACTGTAGTTGGGGCTAGTAGGATTGCGCCTATGGACTACAGTTGGCAGTCATCCTACTCTGGTTTTCACTAATTAGACAGTGGTGTTGATGTGTCCAGCTTGAAGGTAAAGGTCCGAATCACTGATGCTAAAGTTTGGGAGCGCTAATCCTCCACCAAGTTAAGGCCTACAGAGATGTTTTTTACTTATTCTTTGGGATTTGTATCCCCACAAAGGGAACTATTAAGCAGTCTAAGTGCTTGAAAACATGATTTTTTTTTTAAAGAAAAAAGGAATGTTTTGAAATAAATTTAATATCTGTGGGAGGAAAATCATCTTAAGGCATTGATTCTCCCAAATAAAGAAATTGGCAGTGTCCCAAAATGCTAATCTAGTCCGTAATCTGTTGATTAGAGGGGGGACGTTTGCCTGGAAGAGAGAGGAGTATTGCTTTGTCACTTCTATGCCCAAGTAGGCACATTTTCTGAAGAGATTTCAAATGGCAAATTAAAATCATTGTACGCGCACAAGATTTTGAACAAGGAACATCAGAGGGGGAACACCAAGAGAATGCTATATTAATAATAGGTAATAATAAAAATGATTGACACAAAAGGGTTTGACACAGAACCAGAGCTGAATGTTTCTGTACGTAAGCAGTGAAAAGATAAAAGCTCTGCGTGGTCAGCGTTTACTGTAAAGGCGGGGGAGCAGGGGGCTGAGTGGCTGAGGAACTGAAGTGCTCATGACATCATGCACTACTCATGTTGATGAATGAGTGTACTCTGCACGTGTGTGAGTGTGTATTGAATCATACAGTGCTCATGGTGAGGCAGGGGAGCAGGTGTCACGTGACCCGAGGCCACGCTCACTGCAGCAGATCCTGTTTCCCTGCAGAGACACGAGTCACATGGAAACACACTGGATGACCTGACTGTCAGCAGCCTGGACCTGTCAGCTGGATGCTGCGCTGAACATCTGAACCTGTTGAAAATGTTTCACATACATATGCAGAGAAAATATATTTTAACACTGGACATTCTCAAACAATATATATTATTATTTATTTTTCACTGCTTTACTTTGCTGTCTGACAGAAGCCGTTATATCCATACATCCATTTTCAACTGCATACCCAAAGCCGGGTCACGGGGGCAGTAGGCTGAGCAAGGATTCCAGACGTCCCTCTCCCCAGCAACACTTTCCAACTCCTCCTGGGGGACCCCAAGGTGTTCCCAGGCCAGATGAGATATGTAATCCCTCCAGCGTGTTCTGGGTCTGCCCCGGGGCCTCCTACCAGTGGAATGTGTCAGGGACATCTCCAGCAGGAGGCACCCAGGAGGCATCCTGATCAGATGCCCGAACCACCTCAACTGACCTTTTCGATGCAAAGGAGCAGCGGCTCTACTCCGAGCTCCCTCTGGATGTCTGAGCTCCTTGCCCTATCTCTAAGGCTGAGCCCAGCCACCTCACAGAGGAAACTCATTTTGGCTGCTTGTGTCCCTGACATCATTCTTTTAGTCATTACCCAGAGCTCATGACCATAGGTGAGGGTTGGGACGTAGATGGACCAGTAAGTCGAAAGTTTTGCCTTTCGGCTCAGCTCCCTCTTCACCATGACGGTCCTGCACAGCGCCAGCATCGCTGTGTCTGCAGTGATGCTGGCGCTGTGCAGGACCGTTATGGTGAAGAGGGAGCTGAGGGTCCTGCACAGCGCCAGCATCACTGCAGACACAGCGCTTGGCTTTAAAGGGCTAGTTCTGATTCACCAAAGTCACACAATAACACAAAGTCACTTATCGAGGCAGCAGTAGACCAGCAGTTCCCATGTTAGGCAAGCTAAAATTACCGTTTTTCTCAATGGGGTCTGGTGGTTTTGACAAGAGCGTAAAAGGGGAACTGAAACTTTACCAACTTCCCCATCAGAGAGGGCCGTCTGCTGCAATGTTAAGCTGTGAGACTTTTCTCTAAAGTACATAACTTATCTTGAATGCCAGTACTCTACAGTCTGCTTCTCCAAATTCATGACATGCCGATTGTCATTTACTGTATGCAACATATTGACTTTGGGTAAGTATCTTGTATCACCCCACTTCAAAAGACCCGAACTATCCCTTTGTGATAAAGTAGAATCATAAAACAGAGGTCAAATGTTCAGGAATGAAGGCCAAGCAGCTCTTGGATTTTATATTTGTGAACATAATTTATTTACATCATTACAATTATTCTTTATTATTGGAAGATTACGCGCACTGCAGTATATAAATAAAGATGTTTGTACAAACTTGCATAACTAAAAGGGTAAAAAAACGAAACACAGGTTAAGCAGCCAGAAAATTCAAAAACTGAAAATGATTAATAACCTACGACCACAGCTCTAAGTCGCTATGGCACACGACCACTCAACCTCATACACACCAGCCATCCACATTTACACCCACAAACACACATACTTGTGTTTGATACACACAGTATGCAACACTCCAACACTCCCAACACTGTGACTGTCAGCTCACATTAAAAAATATCAAGGAAAACATTCAATAGTGAAGTAAAAGATGAAAATATTAGTGGAGCTAAACCCTTCCAAAGGCAAAACATTAATACAAGTTTAGGCTACTTGTCATACAACAACACACGGCATACACACTTTTCTGGGGGGGAAAAAAAAAAGGAAACAAACAGTCAGGTGATTTGTATCCTTGTGTGACTTCAGTGGATGGTTTTAAAGACCTGAAAAGCAGGAAGTCCACATGTCTGCTCTCCAGATCTCTGGCACAGTACGGGTCACAGCATTCAGCCAAATGTCAACAGAAGAAGAACAAAGCAAACTGTCAAACCACAGTGTGTCAAGTGCCGCACACACAGCAGGGCAGGAGTATGAGCCGGCAAGAAAGGGCTAAAGTCTCTTTTTCAAAGTCTCTCTAGTAATATGTCTGAGCTGTGTGTTGACGAGGGAGGGGGAGGGGCGGGGTGGATGTGACTCTGGCGGCACAGAGAAGCATTTCAGGTTGATAAAAACTCACCGGGACGCAAATTCTGACGACTAAGGAGGGTTAAACTCTGACCTCACAGAGTTAAGCGGAGGCCACAAACAGAAACAGACAATCATCCATTTTGCTACTCAAGCCAGCAGAGAGCAAGCACGGCTGAGGTGGCGCCATCAGCCAACAGCAGTAAAAGTCTGAGAGTCCAAATAGGCCCATGTGTCTGGGCTCTTTCCAGGCAGAGTTCAGGCGATCTCAGCGGGATCGCGCGACAGCCTGCACAGCCATCGACAGCATCTTCTAAAATACTAATGACTTTTTCTTCAGTAATCTCCAAAGATACGGACCCCTCCCCCCATCCTCATTTACAACCCTCCAAAAGTGTTAAACTCACACAAAAACAAGAACCAAAGCTGAAAATATAAGTGAACTTTCATGCACTGGGGGAAAAGTCTTGAACGTGTAACAAACGAGGAGAAAAAACAAAAAACAAAAACAGGTCCTTCGGGCAGAAGGCTGGGCTCGAGTCCATTTTTCTTTTTAAAGCCGATCGCTCTCAGTGTTCACAGTCAAACTGAGAGTCCTCTTCATATTCTCTGGATCTTGTCAGCGACAACCACGGGGTTCTCTTTGCGGATCTTGTCAGCAGCTTCAGCTTTGTAGTCGTACGGACAGTTGTGCTTATCGGAATAACGGTGGATTCCGCAGAACAGATTCCCACAGCGGCAGTCAAAACCTGGAATGCCACAGCAGAGGACAAATCGAGTCAAATCAAAAACAAGCGCTTACAGCGGCTAAACAGTCCCTGACTGTAGACATCCTGGGACACATGCGACATAATGTGAAGTGAGTAGTAGAGGCATATATCAACATTTTGAGGTAAAAACACTTAGATACTGGACCTAACTGTAACCTTTTGCAGGATCTTTCAGGCAAGAACGTTCTGTAAAGCCCACAAAATAGGTACTTAAGCTTCTGAGAAAACTTTAAATCTGATATCATTGACTTTTTAAAGGTTTTTTGGGGGTATTCTTGCCTTTACTGTACAGTTTGACAGTGAAGAGGTAGACAAAAATTGAGGGTTAAGAGGGGGATAACACGGAACAAAAGCCCCCAGCTGAAATCAAACCGGCGACGAAACTACTCTAACAAGAGGCTCCTAGAAATCAATAACCCCTTTTACACTTCCTGTTTAAGACAAGACTGTTCGACGTTATTCCTCCTTGCTGCTCTGTCTAAAAGGTACGAATACAGAATGAGGGGACAGAGTTGTTCTGCTTTTGAGTTGGCAGCAGAGGTAGTATGGAGCCAAATCAATGTCTGTGTAAAAGGTGCGAGCCGCAACAACGGGACAGCTCTGACATTTTGCTGACGTGTGTCCACCAGCTGGAGATTTAAAAAGCAGTTAGCAGCAGTTAACGGCTAACTCAAACAAGGATAAATGGGGAGACAATGAGGTCTGGGAGAGCCCTACACTCCAAGCAGAGGACGAGATCAGCCAATATATAACAGGGATGGTAAATGATTGTTTACAGCTTAAGCTTGACCAAACAGAACGCCGACAAATCTGTGATATTCTCTAATGACATTAAACGTGCTATCTGTGTCCCTTCTTACCTGTAAGGCCAACCTTTTTGCGGCACATAAAGCAGCGATTCTTTTTGGGTTTGGTGGGCTCTGGAGCTCTGGACTCCTCACTGCCAGCAGTGGAGGGATGAGAGGCTGAGGATGTGGGTTGAGTCAACACTGGAGACGCACAAATAAAACACTTAATTCAGTAAAGTATCTCTTACCAACCCACACAGCAGTGTTGCACATCATTATAAGTATTTATCTGACTAAACCACACACACCCACCCCTTATGCATGAATGTAATTCTATATCGCAATGTTAATGTATTTTAATGTAGTACATTTTACTCCATCACACTGATGGACGACGTACCCACTAAAGCCAACCCACCTGGTTCTGTGAGCTCTACTTTGCTTGCTGATGATCCTTTTTCCTCACAGGAGAGGCTCATTTCAGTCATCTGTTGTGTTACAGAAATGGCAGTCGAAACTCCACTGCAAAAGATAAACAGAACATTAATAAAGCTTAATATTTCAGGAAAGTAAATTAATTACATAACCACATTTTCAATATATCCAACTGTCTTTATCTGCTGAAGAAACTCATGAGATACTACCAAGGATGTAATCATTACAAATTTAATGGTGCCTTAAAGTGTTGTGTTTACAAGAAGAATCCACATGAATGAGCCACTAATGTGGCATTCATGATTTTCTAAAGCGGAAACATTTTGAAAGCACTGAGTTTGCAAATTATGATGTTTGTTATTGTGATTAAAAATCCCAGAACCTGTGGAAGATGCTGAGAACTAGCAGGAGTGTACTCAGGACTCAACCCCCTTACAGCCAAAATGCTTGTGGCATGGACATGGTGCCACATGTCTACCACAGCATACCCACAGCAAAGTGGTCCTTATAATTAACTGAAGCTGCTACACTGACCACAGAAGCCACAACACACTACTCATCTCTATTTTTACACAGCTGGCTTATTTTTTTTCCTCTACGGGAGGTTCGGCAGCTCTCCAACAGGTTTAAAACCATAACGAATTGCCTAAAAAATTAGTAAACTTGGTTTTAAATTATTTTAAAACAGAGACAGAGCCTGTGTAGCAGGTAAAAAATCCAGCACTGCCTCTACATCATGAAGCGTCATATGTGTGCTCCATGTATTTCAGCCATTAGAAGCTGAGCACATATTGCATCCTCCACTTCCCATTTCAAAACTGTGACATCACAGGATTTGTTTGAAGGCAGTATAGTAAACCCTGATGGCTCCCCTCACCTGAGAGCTTCTGCGGCAGCAGCCTCAGCAGAGGCAGCGGCCTCGGCTGCCACCTCTGCAGCAGCGACTGCAGCCGCTGCAGCATTATTCAAGGTGGCCTCTAACCTCTGGATGGCAGAAGCCTCAGCTGTGGGGCCGCTGCTGCTGCCTGGGGGAGAAAATGTCACCGCATGTTACAGTCAGATACAAAGGCTGAGAGTTTTGTCCTGCGTGCACGTGGAAACATGGGAACAAAAAAAAACTGTGACGGACACAGCGGGTCTTACCCACAGTACTCAAAGTACTGACTCCTCCATTGTTCTGCCTTGACAGGTGCTCCTTATGGCACACGGAGCACATGCCATTAGTCCTAGGGTTGCCATAGAAACCACAGCCATTAGCACAGAGCATAGGAACTGGGCTCTGATTGGTCTCCTGGGCCATAGCGATGTCTGCCGCCTGGTGAGCTGACAAGAGGAGACAAACAAAGACACATGCTGGAGTGATGAGTGTCTGTGTGGGTACAACCAAGGTACAAAGTAGAAGAAACCTGGCCTTAATGATAAATAGACCTCCAGAACTATTTACTGAGTGAAATCACTTTGTACAAAGACTTAGACATACCCACAAGTGGCTAAAACATTTTTTTAAAAAACCACCTGTTCAATACTATTCAGATGGCTCTTTGTAAAGCTTGTTAACAATCTGTTAACCTGTGTCTCTTGCCTGGAGTTTGGGGTATATTGTGACTCAACTAAACTCACAGCAAACTTTTAATACCCAGGTTAAGAGTCAGGAAATATTGTGGTTTGATTTTGTCATATTTTGCAAATGCAAGTAAACAAATGAATAACTGTTTCACAGGTCAGGACAGTGTATTTTCACCCCTGCCAACTAAATCACACAAGTGACAGTCAACTCCTCTTAACACATTCATATCACACTGTGCATTACCAGGTAGCAATCATTAATTAATCACTCTTTATTAACACATGACCACATCTGGCTCTGGTTTATTTAGCTGCTGAGCTACTTGATGCAATTAACACATCATTATATTCTACTTTGCACAAGGTCAAACAACACTGTAAAAGAGTGGAGAGACTGACCAAATAATCCACTTATTATTTTTTTTAACATTTAACTCATATCTCACTCTCTGTATCAGCAGATGAGACCGCTCAGGTGCCATCACATGACCTACATGTGGAACATCAATGATGAGATAACAGTTGGAGATAAGAATCATAACCTATCTTGATTCAATGATTGGTCTTTTGCATTGTATGTGACCAGCAGTCTTGATCTCATGAAGACTGAGATGTGGTTTAAAGCCCTGGCAATACAGTAGGCGACTTTGTTACAAATTTTAGCCTGTTTTATTTGGGCAAAAATGTTGTTGGGCTTCTGGTGTTGAGACGGCATTCGACTTTTGAGAACTCTGACTCCTTTTGTTAAATAAGGGAACACTTATATTATCAAAAAGTCTTTTAAAAGAGTTTCAATGTTGTTGTTGATACCAATCTTTTAGGTTTTTGTATCTGCATGAGTATCAAAACATTCCAGCTGTAATGGTAATGAGATGATGAGTTTACATTTTGACTGTAAAAGCTTTAACATACCTATTTTGTCACAAATGCGCCTGCGGGAGGAAAAACATGTAGGTCTTAAAACCAGATTGTGAAGCTATTGACATAATTACTGCTTCCTTCCTTCCTTATTTGAACACAGACTGAGTGAGTCCCCTCCTCTCTAACCAAACTTAATCAAGTAAATATAAGCTTGCATCAGCCTCATGATTACATTAAAGGAAGTTATGAAGATATCTCTTGAGAAGAAGGTTGTTTATAGTCACCGGCAACACATGGGGGAAACGAAAGGGGAAGTATTCACCTCACTAAGTTCAGGTTCTGGTGCCTCCTTCTCTCCCTCACACTGCCATCACTACACCCCTGCAATCTGCACCTTCACGTGTTTGTGTCTGCAGACTGCAGTGCTTCATGCAGACTCACATGGATCTGTGTATGACGGCTTTCCTCTGTCACAAGAGTGCAATGTGACACTGATCTCAGAGGTGCACACTGCTGAGGTACCTCAATACAGTAAGGGCTAAAAACACGTCTATTAATAGATAACCTCGGGTGCCCTGTAAACAGAGCTGGCATCATGCAAAAATGCGTATCCTCATCAGAGCAGGTTTCCCCTCAGATCACCCTCAGCTTTCTAACCCATGGGAGGAAACACATTGTGAGAACAGAGCTGCCAAATCCTACACAATTCAGACTGTGTTAGGCAGGGGGACTCGTGGGAATAGACCCTGACATGGGTACAAAAATCACCACATCACCTGTAACGTTTATCGCATAAAGAGTCGAGCACTTTTATCACTGAGACAAAAGCCAAAATCACTCACTGACCCCAAGATGCAAGTTAGTGATAGTGGCAGCATGCTAACATCAAACTCACCCCAAGGCCCAATAACCCCATCTCTACTTAGATGAGCTCAACGAAGCAATCAATACCATTTATGTAGGCTGCAGTCTTCAGTTGCTTCCTGACAAACACCGGGCCACAGCCGTACCACTTCTACAAATCCACTGAGTCATGCTAGCAAGCTAACAGCCGCTGCTAACGCCTTTCTCTTAAAAACTATGCCAACAGTCACCCGGCACGGTGAATATCGCCACCTCGGAGTCGAGTTATAAAAGTTTCTTGAATCAAGCGACGCAAACAAAGCGCAGTTTAGTGCTGTATGGTTTAGTTTGCTTGCTAGTAAGCTAACCGTAGTTAGCCACAACAACCGTGTGAGCAGATTCTCGTGATCTCGCTAACGCTAGCATGCTACATGTTAGCCGAATCGGAAAACTGTTAGCACACTGTTGTTGCCTTTGTCTGTTCTTTGTTTTTGTTCCCACCAGAGACGAACTAAGTTACTTGACAATAACTTATAATAAAGTAACTTTAGGAGTATTACCACGGGAAATAAGCGTGTGAATAAAAACTGTTAAACGGGGACATAAAATAACCGTTAAACATTGATGTATGTTAGCTAACAAGATACAGTTGAGTAACGTTAGTTAATGGATATTTAAACGCTGTTGGTGCTGTTAGCAGATTAACGTTAGCCACGTTAAATACAGACCGTCTTTATTTATAGTTAGTGGACAACTAGGTGTTGAAAAACATGATAATATCGTGATAATATTGGTTTAGTCGCTAGCTGGTATAAAATGCTAAAGTTGTACTTAATTTACAACCTCACAGTTTGAGAAAAGTTTTCACCGACACGTGTTAACCAAACGGAACATTTCTTTAATCCTCGAATGCACATTTACATTAACGTCTACATTAATTTTAGATTGAAACACGATTTTAACACTGTTTGTTACTGTTTTATCGTCCACTTCAGGAACTTCCCAACCACTTAAGCTAGCTGGCTATGGTTTCAGTAGTGAACTTACCTTCCGTGTCTGAGAAACGTCGTTTTTTCTTGATACTTTCTGGATCAGCGAAGTGAATAAGTTTATCTTGGAGCTATATTAACTAGGGCCGTCTAGGTGGGTCGTTGTGTGTGCCTCTCTCCAGTCCTCTCACACAAGACTCCACTCCGCCTAGGAGAGCTGGTAGCTAATTTGGTTGACGTCCTCTCTGTCGCTGATTTGTGGTGGCATCTGTTTTGTTTTACGTGCTGCGTTTGCGTCCTCTCCTTTTTCCGGTGGACGTCACGGAAAGTGTGATCCTCTGATTGGAAGGCAGCGGAGTTGGAGTGAAGCCATCAAAGATTTCAGGCTATTATTACAAGGCAGTAAACCCGCTTCCTCGACCGACTAGACAGACTATACCATAGCCTTCTTCGGTGTCTAGTTAGAAATCAATGTTCATGTAATCAGGAAGGGTCACCGCAGCCGTGTTGTCTGTAGATCCGAGACAACAAGTTTGATAGGATGTGTTGCCTTCACATGCTCCTCGTAAGCTCCAGCTTGCCTGTAGACTTCTGTGCGTTCATTAATCAGCTTAAAATTGCCAGGGCACCATGTCTGACCTTGTTCTTTGTTTTATTTGTATCTCACTATGGACAGGTCAATGAGATGAACAGTCCTCAGAGTATAGGTCCATCATTCATGGATGGATTACACAGGGCACAAGCTCGAGGGCCCAATGGGTCAGGGGCCCTTAAAGTGAAGTGCTTCTGTTTTAAATGCATGTTGTTAGTATTTTTTGTTTAAAAGCTGAAGAGCTTAGGCAAAAGTACCCATGTCCTGATCAGTTTTTTGTTTGTTTGTTTATCCTGAGCCTTATTAGCCCACTAGATAGATAGATAGATCCTTTATTGTCATTGTATGTTATACAAGGACACTTTATTTGAGCAATCCATTACCAGCATATAAATGTTACACATGCACCAACACACACTCGCTCAATGCATAAATCTCACAGTCACATATACACCCATTTATATGTATATTTGTTGAAAAATATATGATAAATGGTAAGTAAGAGCAATAAAAACAACCAAGCACAATTAGGAGGCCTATCTGCCGATACCTGATCTGCTAGATACTTTTATTATGTCAGTCAAAATTTCCCTTTCTCTAAATGAATGAAGGAATAATAATAACACAATATATAGCATGGACTAATGCCACATACCACAGCATTTATAGCCTACGCTCTTTTACAGTGTTCATTCCTATAGCTGTGCTGTTATACAAATACACAAACTCAAAGAAAATACAAGCAAAATAGTAAAACACAAAAACAATTCTCAAAGAATAAAACAATAACAATAAAAACACTTTAATTTTTTATGATAAGCACCAGAACATTCATGACTTCATGACTGATCCCTCTTTAAAAGCTGTGTTAACTTGAGTTTTGAGTTCTGTAAGTTAGAACTCCAATATACAGATCCACTAAACACAAAATAGAGCTGCAAACTGCATACTTTTACCTATATTAAAATAAGTAGAGCAATTTGCAGATATGTTTGACAGCAGAATAACTCTAAATTGGGAAAGTTTTGGTTGTCCTAGTGTCCAAGAGGAAACATTTAAATCAGAAATTTAAAATAGAAATTAAGAACGCAATGGGCATTTATTTCTAATGTGTATGTGCTTGTGTTTGGCTGGATTAAAATGAATTAAATAAATGTGTGAAATCTGGGTTTATCAAAAAAAAAGAAAGAAAAGAAAAGAAAAGCAAACCGTGATGCAAACGGGTCAACTTCCGACTGTTTTTAATTTATTTTATTTTATTTTTTTTTTTTTTACCGTAAGCCAGTATAGTTATTGTTATTTCTATTTTTGAGTATCTAAATGTGCTCATTAATATATTAGTTTATGTTAAGAACAAGTTCAAATTAAAGAAAAGAGTGTTAAAAAGTGTGAAAAATAAATAGCAACACGTAACAGGAAACGGAAGAGAAGAAAAAAAAACTACGTCATGTTACCACTGGTTGTCCGGGGAACGCATTCGAAGCAGATGCGCTCAGCCAATCAGATGCTCGGAGCGTTCAGGGCGCAGCGAATCAGCTTGTAGCGTGCGAGGATTTAAACCAAGACGCTGAACCTTGGAAGTACGCTGCATCAGTCTCCATTACGACTGACCGTTTTATTGTTGAAGCAACGAACTATCGAAATGGCTCTCCGAGTAACCAGAGTACGTACTTTAACAATTTTATATTTCCTTTTTGATACTTATAGTTGTTAAAAATTGTGGAAGAAATGTATTTATCGTATTTTTTAATTTTAAATAACTACAGTATTAAATGCCCTCGTGCTTCGCTGTGGGGTGTGCTCTCGCGCAACAATTCCACAATAGGAGTTCGACTAAAGACTAAGCAATTATTTAAAAATAATAACATGCAATATATTATAAATGCCTTTTTAAAATATTTTTCTACAGAACCGCTTGGCCTCTACCAGGAGTGACCTCGGTGGAAAGGCCTGCTCGGTCACAGGGCCCACCAAGCCTCGAGCTGCGCTGGGAGAAATCGGAAACATCGCAGTCAACAAAGAAGTACAGAAAAAGGTAAGAGTGCGACTCTATTATTAAAGCTCCACTTAATAAAATCAATGAATTCAGCTTATTAAAGTCAATTCATTGTGCTACAATGCAAACCCACTGTAAGCATGCATTTGCAATCCTTACAAAGCTTCGTGGGGCTGATAACTTAAAATAGACTTGAAAGAGGTCTATTTGTGGGGATTTTACGTCTGCATGTTGCATATACAGCCTCATATGCAAAACCATTACCAAATGTGCCCATTTAAGGCCTTTAAAGTAACTTTAAAGGAGCAAAAGAGTGTTAACCAATGTGAAAATGCACCCCAGTGCCAGTATTGCTAGCTCCTAATGCAGCCACTTGAGTAAGCAGGGGTGCATCTACTGCTTATATTAACCAGGCTTCTGAATAATTAGTAAACCTTAAGATATTAAATACATTGAGAAAGTGGAATCCAGAGTTTTCCCTGTTTTTGTTGGAATTTAAACTAAAGCTGCCATTTTAAATTCACCACAGCAGCTCTGACTTGACTACAATCCACCCTTTTCATTTTAGAACATCAAGACAGAGGCCACCAAGAAGACCAGAGCCACCACCCAAGTTGAAAATGCAACAATTGTTGAAAAACCAAAGCCAGAAAATGTTGCTCCCGTTAAACCAGAGCCTGAGGTGCAGGTGAGTTACATGCCAAAGGCTATCTGACCATTAAGACACAAATGAGACTGCTGGGTGTGGTGCTTCTGTTTGTTTGCACTCATGTTGGGATTTCCACCGTTCCAGGTTATCCCTGAACCAGCATCCCCCACTCCAATGGAGACCTCTGGCTGTGCACCCGCTGACCTCTGCCAAGCATTTTCTGATGTCATGCTCCACACTGCTGTCAGGGATGTGGATGCAGATGACTATGACAACCCCATGCTCTGCAGCGAGTATGTGAAGGACATCTACAAGTATCTCCGACAGCTTGAGGCAAGCAAATTCCTTTTGTGGCTAAATTATCTACTATTCTCCCCCACTCTTTTTGGTTTTAACCAGTTTCCTGTCTTTTCAGGTTGAGCAGAACGTCAGACCCACATATCTGCAGGGTCAGGAGGTGACTGGCAACATGCGAGCCATTCTCATTGACTGGCTCGTGCAAGTGAGCCTCAAGTTCCGTCTGCTGCAGGAGACCATGTACATGACTGTGGGAATCATTGACCGCTTCCTTCAGGTAACAGACTGCATATGAAACACAGCCTCTGTATGGCTTAAACTTCACACCTTCTGACTTGCCAGTTTCTAAATCTGCATCTGACTGCACCTCCTACAGGACCACCCTGTCCCCAAGAAGCAGCTGCAGCTAGTCGGCGTGACCGCCATGTTCCTTGCTTCCAAATACGAGGAGATGTATCCTCCAGAGATCTCAGACTTCGCCTACGTGACGGACCGGGCCTACACCACCGCCCAGATCAGAGACATGGAGATGACAATCCTCCGGGTGCTCAAGTTCAAACTAGGCCGCCCTCTTCCCCTGCAGTTCCTCAGAAGGGCCTCAAAGATTTATGAGGTTTGTGGCAGATTTGGTGACACCGTTAAAAGAGCTTTGGCATAATTTCTCTACAGCTGCTAACTTCTATTCCTGACTTGTCTCCCCTCAGGTAACGGCTGAGCAACACACTCTGGCAAAATACCTCTTGGAGCTCACCATGGTTGACTATGAGATGGTTCACTTCCCACCTTCCATGATGGCAAGTGCTGCTTTGGCTCTGACCCTCAAGGTCTTGGACGCTGGCGAATGGGTGAGTTTAACGTCTGGTCTCAAGAGGCTATGTTAAACATGTTACAAAATTGACCAGGCTAGACCAAGAGGGATGTTTGATTAATTGATAAAACTGACTTGGCCAATCTTGACCTGGAAAAAATGCTGAGGTCTTTCTAATGGAAACTGTAAAATGTCTCCCCTCAGGATGTGACACTGCAGCACTACATGGACTACACAGCAGAGAGTTTGATTCCTGTGATGGCACACATTGCCAAGAATGTTGTGAAGGTGAACGACGGACTGACAAAGCACATGGTAAGTGATAAAACTTCCTAAGCTGGATCTCTAGATCGTAAACCAATTTAATGTTATCTTTTTTTCTGTACGTCTAACTCGACCTTTCTCCTTCCTTGCAGGCTATTAAAGGCAAATACTCCACTTCCAAGCAGATGAGGATCGCCACCATCTCGCAGCTCAAGTCTTCAGTCCTAAAGGATCTTGCGAAGCAGCTCACACAGTGAGACGACAATGTTTTTGGCACTGTGTGCTGATTTTGTACAGTTGTAACTTAAAGGTTTTAATGGGATTGAACGAACTACACGCCAAGGACAATGTCAGTGGTTGCATGTTTAACCACCTGAAATCGTGTGTATACTTTCACTGACCCTTTTCAAACATGCCACAAGTTTTTAATTTCTTAGTCATAGCTTCTTGAAGTTGCATCCGGCAGGTAGATGGCGAAAGCCAACAGTCTTTGGTGCTCCTGTCACGGCCCTTGACAGGCTGAGGTGGGTCTGGCGGCTTTCTCCTCTACATAACTGCTCCAGCTTGACCACATGTCAAACTGTTGCCGTTTCCCATTAGTGTGGTTGGTACAGAACTAGTCAGCTAACACTCCAGTTAACGGTTTCTCAACTTGCAGACTAAATGACTGGGTACCCTTAAATGCAAT